GACCGCCCCGGGAGGCCGCGCTGGCCCTGGGCAGCGAGCCTGCAGCCGCCCGGCCCCTGCTCGGGGAGGGCGCGAGCTGGGGCTGGGCCATGAAATGACTCCCTCCAGCCTTCAGGTCTTTCTTGTTCTGCGTGGTCATTGTTGCCAAGACGGCCGCGACTGAGATCACATGGTGCTCGATTTGATGCAGCTATCTTGGCCTCTGCATCCTGGGCCTTTATTCTAGAACCCGAAGGCTAAGCAAATATCCAAAATACTGCAAGTAACTGTCCGGTTTGTGTACACGTGCCCGGTGTGAGTTTAAGCCACTGGGTCTAGGACTCAAACTGCGGTCCTCTACATGGGAGCCCAGCGACATAGCCATTACTAACTGCTGGTCCGCAAGTAACTGTCTTAATGTGCCTTGTACGTTATTAGCAAATGCGATTCTACTCTACATGACAGATGCTAGTCTGTCTCTCTAGTTGTAGAAAATATTCCATAAATTGGTAAACGACAAATTTTGTTCCAGTGGTTTTTTGTTGTTTTTGGTTTTGGTTTCTCTTTTTTTCTAAATTAAACTGTGAGTGTAGGACATGCATCCCAATTAAAGTGAAGAGATGAAGCTGGGAATGTGGAACAGTCCCCATTGTGAATGTGGAAAAGTGGTAATGTTGGGCTGGCAGGTGGCGTGGTGGTTAAAGGCATTGGATTCCCACATGGGGACTGCAGTTCAAGTCCTGGATCTGGTGACTTGCTTTCTCACTTTCCCTTTCTCTCTCTCTCTCTCTGGTAAAATTAAAAGAAATGATAATAACAACACGTGGAATTAAATAAATAAATATTTTTTAAAAGAAAAGCTTTAGGCGGTGTGGTAGATAAGGGCACTGGATTCCCACATGGCCGACCATGGTTTGAGTCCTGGACCTGGTGACTTGCTTTCTTGCTTTCCCTTTCTCTCTCTCTCTCTGGTGGTCAAATCAAAAAAAAAAAAACAAAAAACTAACAATAACAAATGGAATTAAGTAAATAAATAATTATTTAAAAAAGAAAAGAAAAGAAAAAAAATCCTAGTGTTTCAGTCCTCAAGCCTTTCCTATGAATGATCTGTGTTGGGATGACCTGTGGCCAGCAGTTAAGGGAGCCAGATCCACTTAGCTGTCCATAATTGGAATCTTAGTTCAAGAAAGTTGTGTGTGTGTGCGTGGGTGTGTATATGTGTGCCCTAAACCCCCAGAGGATGGAGAAGAGAAGGGGTTGCTGCATGACCAAGCCCTCACTGGGGGATGCTTCCTCTCTCTCTCTCTCTCTCTCTGTGTGTGTGTGTGTGTGTGTGTGTGTGTGTGTGTGTGTGTGTTTGGCCAGCTCACATGCCATCTGGTAATAAAAAAGAAATCCTTTTTGTTTGAATAGTGCTCCCTCCCACACACCACCCCAGAGTAGATCATCTTCAGGCCCCATAAAACCAGAATCCCCACCGGTGACAGGGTTGGTCAGGGGAAGGTTAGGGGTAAGGAGGCTTGCAAGGTGGCCTGCTTGACCACTTGACCACGGGGGCTGGGCTGGTGAGCTCGAGTGGGAGGAGGGCGGTGGGTGGGAGGCTCCGAGGTCGGGTACCAGGACGACAAGAGCAGATTCAGGGGGCATGAGGACATGGGAGGAAGCAGTGGATGAGTGAGACCACGGAAGATGGAGACGTTCCGAGCTATGGGGCAGCCTGTGTGTTTTCAGAGTCCCGCCTTCGGCCAGGCACTGAGGCCATGGTGACAGACAGCACAAGCAGGCAGTCATCTCGGTGCGTCCAGACCAGAATGCTGCACAGAGCCCCCCGAGGTCCCAGAAAGCGTGCCTTGGAGAGCGGCGGAACCTGCCAGCTTAAATCTCCAAAGCGTGATGGTGAGCTTTTACCAAAGCTAGCTGCAACCAGGCAGTGCCAGCACACCGCCACTTGTGCAGGACTTGAAGATGTGTTGTTATTTAGGGCACACAGTCGCAAATGTAAAAAGCCTGTATGGGAGCTCTCTTCTCCAGTGGCCCTCCAACTTGCATCCGAATCACCTGGAAGGCTTATTAAAGCACCCGTTTCCAGACTCCCTCTCTGAGTAGCTAGTTCAGGAGATCTGGGACGAAGCTGCATATCGAGTTTGCAGTGATGCTGGTGCTGCAGGCCCAGGGACCGCGATCTGAGACCCCTGACATGTGTCCTCCTGGGGAGAGCGATTCCCTCCCATGCAGAGCAGAGCGGTAGAGCGCTCTAACCCTGTGTGTGATCGTTTATTTCTTTAAAAAGGATCTGCGGGGCCAGGAGGTTGCACAGTGGTTGAGGAGCTGGACACTTCCACGTGGCCGAACACAGTCTGAGTCCTGGACTTCGAGGCTTGCTTTCTCACTGTCCCTCTCTATCTCTCTGTGTCTCTCTCTCTTTTTTTCTTTTCTTTTTTTTTTTAAACATTTATCTATTTATTTATTCATTCCTTCATTTTAATTTGACCAGAGAGACACACAGAGAGAAAGTGAGAAAGCAAGCCACCAGGTCCAGGACTTGAACCGGGTCGGCCATGTGGGAGTATCCAGCGCCTTAACCACCACGCCACCTGCTGGTCCCTGTGTCTCTCTTTCTGATAAAAATAAATGAATAAATTAAATTAAATAAGAAATTCTAAAAAAAAAAAATCTGCAATGTAACATAGCAAAGCTGATGGATACCCCTAACTTTGTTTTTCTTTTCCTTTTTTATGTGCTTGGAAGCTTTCACTAAAGAACGAAGATCCTGTTTGCAGTGTGGAGAATGGATGGGGACAGACCCAGAACGGGGAGCCTGTGTAGGGCAGGCTGCAGAGGCCCAGGTAGGAGGTGTGGGCCGCTCACACGGGGGACGGGGCGGGGAGCAGAAGAGAAGGGAGCCGGCGTGTGAGCGATGTGGCTGGCGGCTCTTCTGGAGCTCCCACGACACAGAGCCATGGTGTCTGGCGTCTTTCTCTTGGTATGCTGCTTCCGGGACTCCTTCCTGCTGCAGCATGAGGTAGATGTCTTCCTTCTGTGACGGAACAACGTCCCACCTTGTACCGCGTTTTGTTTGTGTATTCGTCGGTTGATGGGTACGTGGGTTATTTCCACTCTCTGGCCGCTCTGTATAGTGCTGCTGTGAACATTCGTGTGCAAGCGTGTGTGTGAACGTGTGTACTCAGGTCTCCTGGAGGTGAGCAAGCAGTGGAATGGGGGGTGGGGTAACCGCAAGCTTTAGAGGAGCTGTCATTTTGCTTTCTACAGTGGCGGCGTTTTGCATTCCCACCTGTCACCTGCAATGATCCCAATTTCTCCACATCTTTATAAGCATTTGCCTGATTAAAAATTATTTTGGGGGGACCAGCAGTTAGCATAGTGGCTATATTGGTGGACTCCCATGTACTCAACTGTGGTTCGAGTCCTGGACCCGGTGACTTAAACTCACGCTGGACGCATATGTGTGCGTGCCCAAGATCCCGAGAGGAGAATGGAGGAGAAGGGATTGCAGCATGGCCATCCCGCCTGGGGGGTGATTTCTCACTTTTTGTCTCTCTGTCTTTCTGGCTTCTGGCGAGCACACACGCCCTATAGCAAAAAAAAAAAAAAAAAAAAAAAAAAGCACTCTCAAAACAAAAAAAAATTCGTTTTAAATTTTGCTATAGGGTGCATGTGTTTGCCCAAGAGAAACAGAAAGAGAGAAAGAGAAAGAGAGGGAAAGTGAGAAATCACCCTTCAGGAAGAATGGCCTTCTCTTCTCTTCCATCCACCTCTTGGAATTTTGGGGCACACACAAATGCTCCCAGTGTGTTTCCTAAGCTGCTGGGTCTGGAACTCAAACCATGCAGTTGGCCATGTAGGATCTAGCTGTCTTTTTCTTTTTAAGCATTATTTTATTGGGACCAGTAGTTGGCATAATAGCTATGTCGCTGGGCTTCCATGTAGTCGGCTGCGGTTCAAGTCCTGGACCCAGTGGCTTGAACTCACGCTGGGCACGTGTGCATGCGTGCCCAAGATCCCGAGAGGAGAATGGAGGAGAAGGAATTGTGGCGTGGCCATCCTCCCTGGGCGGTGATTTCTTGCTTTCTGTCTCTCTCTGTCTTTCTGGCGAGCACACATGCCCTGTAGCAAAAACCTCTCCAAAAAAAAAAAAGAAATCCCTCGGCTGCTGCTCCCCTGTGTCCAAATGACAGATCCCCCAGGTGACAGAGGGCTGCTGTGCTCTGACTTTGCCTGAAAGTCGTGACGTGCCCAGTCACCTCTACTTGGGAGTGCAAAACACCTTGGCATAAGAAGCAGACGGCATAAACTAGGGGCTTTGGAGCCAGCCAGTGGCATGGTGGTTAAGGCACTAGGCTCCCACATGGCTGACCATGGTTCTAGTCCTAGACCTTGTGACCTGAAATTCACACCTATTGTGTGTGCAAGCGTGCCCAAATTGCCCATCTCCCGTGGGTGGGTGATTTCTCTCTCTGTCTCTGTCTCTCTCCACAAGTGTACATGCCCTGTGGCAAATATCTAAACGAAGAAATAGCAGGGGCTGTTGGCCACTTTACGGCTGCCAGGTGTTCTCAGGACAGTGCGGTTAGGGTTCCCTATCACCTCTGGGACAGCCTTTTGTCCCAGCTACATGAATGCTGAGTGGATTTCACTTTCCCGGAAGAGCTGTTTCTCCTGACTTCTCCTCTGGCCTGGTTCGGGGCTGGGGTGCTTCCTCCGGGGAGTTAACTGTTGTCTGTCCTCGCACCTCATCACAGGATAATGGTACCTGTTTTTGTTCACCCGAGTGTTGTCTGTCTTTGCCACTAGACTTCCCCCCAAGCTCCAAGAGGACAGAAACTGCGTCTGTCTAATTCACACGTGTGTCTCCAGTGCCATGGGCCCCGAAGCCACGGAACACGTGTTGGGTGAATGAGCGGCTGAAAGCGGTGGAGGGAGAGGCTGTGGCCGTGGATTGGGACAACAGGGGCTGGTGAGGAAGTGCTCGGAGCCGGGTGGGCGGACAGGGCATTGGCAGTGGGGCTGGGCTGTTAGAGGAGGACCCTGAGGCTGCTGACCATCCTGAGGCCCCCGAGCCCAAGGACATAGGGGTGCTAGGAGGGATTCTGTGCAAGGAGGACCACTCGGACTGTTGTCATTTGTCCAAGTCCAGAGTTGGCAACTTTCCTTCACAACCCCATCAGTGCTGCCTGACAGCGCACCTCGGGCCAGTGCGCAGGGCCAACCAGACCTCCAGGGTGTCTGGACTGCGGACCGAGCAGGGAGGAGGAAGCCACTCCTGGGCCCAGGAGCACATGCTCAGTTCTGTCACCAGCATCGGCAACTCCCCACCCGCTCCCTGTCGCCTCCTGCTGCCCAGCCTCACTGCGCTAAGGGGGCACTGCCTTACATTTTACAAAAAGTTCCTGAGCCGCTCCTGGGTGCAAACAGCCGTGGGTGGAGCAAGGTGACATCAGACCACACCTCCCCCCTGACCTATTCTAATCCAGACGGTCCTAAATTTTGGTTTGTAATAGAAAGTTGAGTATGGGGACCAGCAGTTAGCATAATGACTATGTCGCTGAACTCTCATGTAGTCGACTGCGGTTCGAGTCCCGGAGCTAGTGGCTTAAACTTACGCTGGGAGCATGTGCGAGCGTGCCCAATATCCTGAGGAGAATGGAGGAGAAGGGACTGCAGCATGGCCATCCCCCCTGGGGGTGATTTCTCGCTTTCTGTCTGTCTCTCTTTCTGGCAAGCACATGCACCCTATAGCAAAAACCTCTCCCCCCCAAAAAAAAAGTTGAGTATGGGAAGAGGTAACGAGTGTGTAGTGTCAGCCTAATATTCAACCCCTCCTCTAACCCTCCAGAGAGCCAGGAGCGGGAGTGGTCACCGTCACTCCAGGGCCATCGGCACCTGCATGGGGATACACACCAACCCTGTTCCTGCTTCCTGTTGCTCTTTATATTTCAGTCAGGTTCAGAGGCGAGCGGCATGGAGAAGAGGCCTGCGGACAGTCGGGCCGGGCTGCTCCCCGCCCTGGCGCTGCTGCTGGCGATGGCGCTCATGAACGCGCTTCTCTACCTCTGCCTGGACTGGGTCTTCATCGCGCCTCCACACGCCTCTGCCGACCCCAGCCGCTGCCCCTACGGTCACTTCCGCATGGGACAGATGGCAAACTGCTCGCCGTGGCTGTCATGTGAGGAGCTGAGAACAGACGTGCGGCAGTTAAAGCTGGTCGGGGAAGGAGCCGTGAAGAGGGTGAGCTGGCCACCTCCCCCGCGCTGCCCCGAGCGTCCGCCCACGAAGGGAAGGCGCGCAGTGAGGGTTAAGAGCCAGGACTTCTCCGTGCTTCTATCCCTGAGCCCTTTAACCTCACAGGTGGGACTTCTTCCTAGTAAAAGAGGCCAACGAGCAAGGCTCGGGCACCAAGGAGAACTACTGCAGTAGGAAAGCTAGAGACGGTGACGCCCTGCAGCCGACAAACGGAGTAGCCACCCGAGCCAGAAGGCGAGATGCAGAGTTGCACGATATGCCTGTTTCCCATCCGACTGCAGAATTTCATAATTATGTAGAAAAAGACAAAAACTATAGAAATTGTGCCACAGTAAAGGTGCATGTGGACAGTTGTTTATCCCCCCTCATTTTTCAAACTCAGGGAACAATGTAGACACCCGGGGAATGGACTCAGTTCTCAGCAGCTCTGCCAGCCCGTGTGTCCTCGGCAGCCGGTGTGCGCTGCATTTTGTGTGGCGGTTGTGCTCTGTGGACGGAGGCTTCTGGGGCAGCGGTGCCTCCAGACATGAGCAGAGCCTGTTTCTTTGTGAGACTGCTCTTTTTTTTTTTTTTTCTCCTTAATTTGCTATAGAGTGTGTGCACTTACCAGAGAGCAACAGAGAGTGAGAAAGCATCCCTGGAGGGACAGCCACGCCACAATCCCTTCTCCTCCCTCTTTCTCCTTTTGGAACCTTGGGCACGCATGAGTCTGGCATGTGTTCTTTCTTTCTTTCTTTTTTTTTTTTTTGGAGAGGTTTTTGCTATGGGGCACGTGCACTCACCAGAAAGACAGAGAGAGACAGAAAGCGAGAAATCACCCCCCAGGAGGATGGCTACACCGCAATCCCTTCTCCATTCTCCTCTCGGGATCTTGGGCACGCACGCACATGCGCCCGGCGTGAGTTTAAGCCACCAGGTCCGGGACTCGAACCGCGGTTGACTACATGGGAGTTCAGCAATATAGCCATTACGCTAAGTGCTGGTCCCTGAGTCTGGCATGTTTTCTAAGCCACTGGGTCCAGGACCCAGATAGTGCATTTGGCCATGTAGGAACCAGCCGCCTTAACCGCCATGCCGCCGGCTGGCCTGAGACTGTTTTTGTGTTTCACTATAAGGTTTCTGCACTCTCCAGAGAGAGAGAGAGAGAGAGAGAAGGAAAGTGAGAAATCACCCCCTAGGGGGAAATGACCACGTCACAGTTTCTCCTTCATTCTCCTCTTGGGATTTTGGGCACACGTGCACATGCACCTGGCGTGATTTTTAAGCCGCCAGCTTCCGGACTTGAACTGCAGTTGGCCATGTGGGATCTAGCGCTTTAACCTCACACCACCTGCTGGCTCCCGTTTTTAATGATCAGCAAAAGGCAGGGAGAGAACATAAAGGCACTCACCAGGCTGCAGTTTGATACACTGTTAACTTCTATTTTAGAAGCTAGGACACTGGTAGCTTCCTCCTGTGAATGGAACAAGCCCATTAGAGACAAAAGAGAGGGATGTCTGTAAAGTGAAACCATAGAATAAAGTGGTTCTTTTAAAGATTCAGTGGCCACAGGTGCTGGGGATGACCTCACCTAAATCAGCCCCTCCTGCCCCATCTAGTCCTCAGATTCACGCCTGGGTGTGCTCCTGCCTTGCAGGATACAATGTGTATTTGTCCGTCCATCTTATTTTTTTGGGGGGGGAGGGGAGAGGTTTTTCCCTATAGAGCATGCGCTCACCAGACAGACAGAGACATAGAGACAGAAAGTGAGAAATCACCCCCCAGGGGGGATGGTCACGCCGCAATCCCTTCTCCTCCATTCTCCTCTTGGGATCTTGGGCACGCACACACACGCGCCCGGCGTGAGTTTTAAGCCACCGGGTCCGGGACGCGAACCGCGGTCGACCGTGTGGGAGTCCAGCAAACATAGCCATTACGCTAACTGCTGGTTCCCTGTCCGTCCATCTTTATAACCACACTGAGCAGCTCCAGGCCTGTGTCTGTCCCTCCTGGATTTCTACGCCACATCTGCCACCAATCAACTGCCTTGTTTAGGTGATGGGACAGTGTAGGCCTGATGTTCTCTGTGGCCTTGTTTCAGGTCTTCCTGTCTGAGTGGAAGGAACGCAAGGTTGCCCTCTCTCGGCTCACCAGCCTGGAGATGGAAGAAGATTTCCTGCACGGACTGCAGATGCTGAAGTCTCTCCAGAGCCCACACGTCGTCACGCTGCTGGGCTTCTGTGAGGACGACCACACCATCCTCACTGAGTACCACCCCTTGGGCTCCCTGGGCAACCTGGAAGAGACACTGAGCCTCGCCAGGTTCCAGCACGCGAACACGTGGCAGCACAGGCTGCGGCTTGCCTTGGGCTATGTGGGCATCATCGACTACCTGCACCACAGCCCCCTGGGCACGCTGGTCATGTGCGACTCCAGCGACCTGCCCAAGACGCTGTCCCAGTACCTGCTGACGACCAACCTCAGCATTGTGGCCAATGACCTGGACGCCTTGCCTTTGGTCAACCGCAGCTCCGGGATGCTGGTGAAGTGTGGCCACCGGGAGCTCCATGGAGATTTTGTGGCTCCAGAGCAGCTATGGCCCTTTGGAGAGGACAGGCCTTTTCAGGATGACCTCATGCCCGCATACGATGAGAAGGTCGACATCTGGAAGATTCCGGATGTCTCCAGTTTCCTGTTGGGGCACGTCGAAGGGAGCGATATGGTTCGATTCCATCTGTTTGACATTCATAAGGCGTGTAAGAGCCAGAGTCCTGCAGACAGACCCACGGCTCGAGATGTCCTGGACGCTTATCAGAAGGTCCTGAATTCACTCAGAGACACCGTGATGTCTCAGACGAGGGAAATGCTGTAAAACAGTCCAGTCATGGAGGGATGAGTGTAGGGACCCACCAGAAGTTGGTCGGCTCTGCTCTGACGGTGGAGTTTCTCGCTGGAGTTGTGTTCTGTTGTTCTCTGCATCCGTGTCACAACTGAGTGCTCTCTGCCTCTCCCGGCAGCCTGCACCGAAGTTGCTCAGCAAGAGAAAACTGGGTGCTGTGGTCGAATGTGTCCCCCCGAAATTCATACGTCGACATTTGGTGAGCCATTGTGATGGTGTTGAGAGTGAAAGCTGAATCCAGCCCTGGGATTGACGTGGGACCTGTGGAAGTGACTGGGATGAGGTCATCGGGTGGGCCCCCTGATCGAATCCTGGTGGGTGTGTAGGGAGAGGGAATTGGACACACACACGCTCTTGCTCTGTCTCGCCACGTGGGGCCCTGTGCCACCTTGAGATCTGCAGTAAGTTCCTGGCAACAAGACGGCCCTCCCCAGGTACAGCATCTTGATCTTGGCCCTCTGAAATCATGAGGTAAATAAATCTGCTCCGACAAGGCCCTCGGACTTGGGAATTCAGTTATGAAGCAAAAGAGAAAAGGACCGAAACACGGGGCCCGACTGAGAACTGACTTCACCTCTCTGACTCGATTGCTTCCTGGCCAAGAGGCAAAGGAGGAGTGAATCTGACCAGTATTTAAAGGAAGTAGCAGACATGCAGTCACAAAGAGGCTTCACCTACCCACATCACTCTATGAGCACCTGAGAAATTGTATAGAGGGGACACCAGCAGATGGCGTAATGGTTACTTCGCTGGACTCCCACGTAGTCAACTATGGTTTCAGTCCTGGACCCAGTGGGTTAAAACTCACACTGGATGCATGTGTGTGCATGCCCAGGATCCCAACAAGAGATGGAGAAGGGGCTGGCAGGTGGCATGGTGGTGAAGGATGCTGGACTCCCACATGGCCAACCACAGTTCGAGTCCTAGACTTGGCCGCTTTCTTTCTTTCTTTCTGTCCCTCTCTGGGCAAATTAAAATAAATAAATAAAGTTAAATAAAATAATTCTTGAAAAAAAAAAAAAGAGAGAGGTGGAGGAGAAGGAGTTGTGGCATGGCCATCCCCCAGGGCGGGTGATTTCTCACTTTCTCTCTGGTGAGTGCATGTGTCCTATAACAACAATCTCTCTCTAAAAAAGAAAGAAATGTATATAGAAATTTTTTTTTTGAGAGGTTTTTGCTATAGGGTGCGTATGCTCGCCAGAAAGACAGAGAGAGACAGACAGAAAGCGAGAAGTCACTCCCCAGGGGGGATGGCCACACCACAATCCCTTCTCCATTCCCCTCTTGGGATCTTGGGCACACACGCGCATGCACCTGACGTTAGTTTAAGCCACCGGATCTGGGACTTGAACCACAGTCGACTACATGGGAGTTTAGTGACATAGCCATTACACTAACTGCTGGTCCCTAGAGATTTTTTAATGGCAGGAATATATTGTAGGTTTTCTTCAATTGCCAGAGGATGCATGTACTTGCCAGAGAGACACAGAAAGGGGGACCCCCCCCCCAAGTGGGGTATGGCGATGCCGAATCCCTTCCTTTCTTCCTCCTTTTGGGATTTGGGAATACGTGCGTATGTACCTGGTGTGTTTTTCAAGCCCTCAGGTCTAAGATGTGAACCATGCAGTTGGCCATGTGGGATCTGGTTGCTTTTAGCACCAGGCCGTAGGCTGGCCCTACAGTAATTCTTCAAATAGCATTTCCCTCCTAAATTTTACAACACAGGATCTCCAAAGTATTTGGGGGTCTGCTTCCCGTGGCATCAGGGAGGTCACCTTTACTGTTCTGAATGATTGTTCTGTGGTGCTCGTGTGCCATCCTCTGTCCCTGTGAGCTGGGGGACCATGAGGGTGTGCTCTGTGCACTTGTGAATGGGCAGGGTACGTAGCACGGCTGGTGTAGGGTTATAACTGTGTGACTGCCATGGGCACGCTTGTAAAACTCCTGTCTACCTGCCAGCTGGGTTTTCTGTGCCCAAATTAACTGAGCATTTTACATCAAGTGTCACTCGTTACTGGGAAGGGTCCAGCCCTTCCACTTGAGTAGCATGATTGAGACATCCAGAAATTCCTTCCCGCGACTGTGTCCCCATTGACGGGATGCTGGATTTGGTGTATAGTAATCGTCGCTCATAAAGTGGCCATGGTCTGAAAACCATTGCTGTAACTGTCACAGAGGCCACCAAGGCAGGAGGGAAAGGGCAGTATGACCAGTCTTGTCTCCATTCTACCACCTGTGCTTGGTTGAGTGCTGTGGTGGATTAAAGAAGACTCTCCTGGCCAGAGGATGTACCTGTTACCGGGAAGCTCACAGGCTATTCCTTCCCTTCTGGTTGGGTTTATTATAAAGGTTCCATCATAACTGGTTAGGTTGACTGTAATCAAAAGGAGGGACAGGACCTGCCAATAGCAGGGTGGTTAAGGCAGGTTAGGATCCCACAGTGCCCACTGCATGGTTCGAGTCCCAGACCCAGTGGCTTAAGATAGATGCCAAGTGGAGTGGTGGTTAGGGTGTTGGATTCCCACATGGCTGACCACAGTTTGAATCCTGGACCTGGCAGCTTGCTTTCTCATTCTCTCTTGTTTCTGTCTCTCTCTCTGATCAACTTGATGAATAATAATACATAAATAAATAATTCTTTATGGCATTCTTTGTTATTTGTAACAGACAAAGTGGTTGCTGTGGTCGAATGTGTCCCCCCGAAATTCATACGTCGACATTTGGTGAGCCATTGTGATGGTGTTGAGAGTGAAAGCTGAATCCAGCCCTGGGATTGACGTGGGACCTGTGGAAGTGACTGGGATGAGGTCATCGGGTGGGCCCCCTGATCGAATCCTGGTGGGTGTGTAGGGAGAGGGAATTGGACACACACATGCTCTTGCTCTGTCTCGCCACGTGGGGCCCTGTGCCACCTTGAGATCTGCAGTAAGTTCCTGGCAACAAGACGGCCCTCCCCAGGTACAGCATCTTGATCTTGGCCCTCTGAAATCATGAGGTAAATAAATCTGCTCCGACAAGGCCCTCGGACTTGGGAATTCAGTTATGAAGCAAAAGAGAAAAGGACCGAAACACGGGGCCCGACTGAGAACTGACTTCACCTCTCTGACTCGATTGCTTCCTGGCCAAGAGGCAAAGGAGGAGTGAATCTGACCAGTATTTAAAGGAAGTAGCAGACATGCAGTCACAAAGAGGCTTCACCTACCCACATCACTCTATGAGCACCTGAGAAATTGTATAGAGGGGACACCAGCAGATGGCGTAATGGTTACTTCGGTGGACTCCCACGTAGTCAACTATGGTTTCAGTCCTGGACCCAGTGGGTTAAAACTCACACTGGATGCATGTGTGTGCATGCCCAGGATCCCAACAAGAGATGGAGAAGGGGCTGGCAGGTGGCATGGTGGTGAAGGATGCTGGACTCCCACATGGCCAACCACAGTTCGAGTCCTAGACTTGGCCGCTTTCTTTCTTTCTTTCTGTCCCTCTCTGGGCAAATTAAAATAAATAAATAAAGTTAAATAAAATAATTCTTGAAAAAAAAAAAAAGAGAGAGGTGGAGGAGAAGGAGTTGTGGCATGGCCATCCCCCAGGGCGGGTGATTTCTCACTTTCTCTCTGGTGAGTGCATGTGTCCTATAACAACAATCTCTCTCTAAAAAAGAAAGAAATGTATATAGAAATTTTTTTTTTGAGAGGTTTTTGCTATAGGGTGCGTATGCTCGCCAGAAAGACAGAGAGAGACAGACAGAAAGCGAGAAGTCACTCCCCAGGGGGGATGGCCACACCACAATCCCTTCTCCATTCCCCTCTTGGGATCTTGGGCACACACGCGCATGCACCTGACGTTAGTTTAAGCCACCGGATCTGGGACTTGAACCACAGTCGACTACATGGGAGTTTAGTGACATAGCCATTACACTAACTGCTGGTCCCTAGAGATTTTTTAATGGCAGGAATATATTGTAGGTTGTCTTCAATTGCCAGAGGATGCATGTACTTGCCAGAGAGACACAGAAAGGGGGACCCCCCCCCCAAGTGGGGTATGGCGATGCCGAATCCCTTCCTTTCTTCCTCCTTTTGGGATTTGGGAATACGTGCGTATGTACCTGGTGTGTTTTTCAAGCCCTCAGGTCTAAGATGTGAACCATGCAGTTGGCCATGTGGGATCTGGTTGCTTTTAGCACCAGGCCGTAGGCTGGCCCTACAGTAATTCTTCAAATAGCATTTCCCTCCTAAATTTTACAACACAGGATCTCCAAAGTATTTGGGGGTCTGCTTCCCGTGGCATCAGGGAGGTCACCTTTACTGTTCTGAATGATTGTTCTGTGGTGCTCGTGTGCCATCCTCTGTCCCTGTGAGCTGGGGGACCATGAGGGTGTGCTCTGTGCACTTGTGAATGGGCAGGGTACGTAGCACGGCTGGTGTAGGGTTATAACTGTGTGACTGCCATGGGCACGCTTGTAAAACTCCTGTCTACCTGCCAGCTGGGTTTTCTGTGCCCAAATTAACTGAGCATTTTACATCAAGTGTCACTCGTTACTGGGAAGGGTCCAGCCCTTCCACTTGAGTAGCATGATTGAGACATCCAGAAATTCCTTCCCGCGACTGTGTCCCCATTGACGGGATGCTGGATTTGGTGTATAGTAATCGTCGCTCATAAAGTGGCCATGGTCTGAAAACCATTGCTGTAACTGTCACAGAGGCCACCAAGGCAGGAGGGAAAGGGCAGTATGACCAGTCTTGTCTCCATTCTACCACCTGTGCTTGGTTGAGTGCTGTGGTGGATTAAAGAAGACTCTCCTGGCCAGAGGATGTACCTGTTACCGGGAAGCTCACAGGCTATTCCTTCCCTTCTGGTTGGGTTTATTATAAAGGTTCCATCATAACTGGTTAGGTTGACTGTAATCAAAAGGAGGGACAGGACCTGCCAATAGCAGGGTGGTTAAGGCAGGTTAGGATCCCACAGTGCCCACTGCATGGTTCGAGTCCCAGACCCAGTGGCTTAAGATAGATGCCAAGTGGAGTGGTGGTTAGGGTGTTGGATTCCCACATGGCTGACCACAGTTTGAATCCTGGACCTGGCAGCTTGCTTTCTCATTCTCTCTTGTTTCTGTCTCTCTCTCTGATCAACTTGATGAATAATAATACATAAATAAATAATTCTTTATGGCATTCTTTGTTATTTGTAACAGACAAAGTGGTAATTACCCATATTACATGGTATAGCCACATGGTGGAATGTAATTTAGCCTTAATGAGGTGCCAGTCCATGCGATAATGTAGATAAAACTTGAAAACACTATGCTGGGGGACCAGCAGTTAGTGTAATGGCTATGTCGGTGGACTCTCATGTAGTTGACAGCAGTTCAAGTCCCGGACCCGGTGGCTTAAACTCATGCCAGTAGTGTGTGTGTGCCTAAGATCCCTAGAGGATAAGGGAGGAGTAGGGATTGTGGCATGGCCATCCCCCCTGGGGGGTGATTTCTCGCTTTCTGT